TCGATACTGGACAGGGGGTATCAATAAGGGATGGGGGGCATCGATATTGTGGTGAGGGCATTGTCACTCCCCCCGACCCTTCCATGCCCCCGCAGTGGTGAAGAACTACTTCCAGCTGCGGGAGTTCTCCTTCACGCTGCGGGACGACGTGTACGTGCGGTTCCAGTCCTTCAGCAGCCCCCAGGAGCTGGAGCGGGAGCTGCAGAAGATCAACCCCTACAAGATCGACATCGGGGCCGTCTACTCGCACCGGGTGAGTGAGTCCCGGGCACCGTGCTCGGGGTCCGTGGGAGTCCCTGGTTCACTGAGCCCGTCCTGTCCCTCCCGCAGCCCAACCAGCACAACACGGTGCACTTGGGGGCCTTCCAGCCGCAGGAGAAGGAGCTGGTCTTCGACGTCGACATGACGGACTACGACGACGTCCGGACGTGCTGCAGGTTCCCGGGGGGAATTCTGGGCCGGGAGGAGGATCTGGGGGTGTGGGGCGGCCACCTGAGCCACCACACTCTGCCCCCAGCTCGGCCGACATCTGCTCCAAGTGCTGGACGCTGATGACCATCGCCGTCCGCGTCATCGACCGCGCGCTCACGGGTGAGGGTCTGGGGGGCACCTGCGGACCCCTGTGCACGTCTGGGGGGGACACGTGGACCCCTCTGCACACGCAGACCACGCTCTGCCCCACAGCGATGCCCAGACCTCGAAGAAGAGCCGGGGCAGAACTCTGGCGGGGCTGGGGGACGTGCCGGTGCCCGGTGGGTTTGTGGCACCGCCAGCTTTGGGCGGTCACCACAGTCCATCCCGATGTGCCCCCAAACCTGTCTGTGCCCCCTGCAGAGGACCTGGGCGTGAGGCATCGCCTGTGGGTGTACTCGGGCCGGAGGGGTGTCCACTGCTGGGTGTGCGACGATGCGGTGAGGAAATGGTCCCCGGCGCTGCGGGCGGCCGCCGTGGAGTACCTGACCCTGGTGAAGGTGGGTGTGTGGGGGGCTGGGATGCCCTGACCCCAGTGAAGGTGGGCATATGGTGATCTGGGCACCCCTGACCCTGGTGACGGTGGGTGCCCAGGGGTCCAGGGGTCCTGGCTGAGCACCCCTGTCCCTGCAGGGCGGAGCAGATACGGTGAAGAAGGTGAACCTCTCCTACCCCGTGCACCCCTTCATCAGGTGAGTGGGGACCCCCTTGCCCGACCCCGCAGCCCCCGGCGGGCACTGAGCCCGTCCCGCTCCCCGCAGGCGCTCGGTGGCCGTGGTGGAGAAGTACTTCGAG